GTGTGTGTGTGTGAGACAGGGAGGTCCAGGCATCAGAGGATCCAGAGGAGATCGAGGTGAACCCGGCCCTGTGGTACAGTATTACCCACAATCCACCTCACTAACATTCACATAATGAGTTCCAGAGATTATAAGTGTGATTGTATGAGTGGATTAACACAGGTGTGTGTGTGTGTGTGTGTGTGTGTGTGTGTGTGTGTGTGTGTGAAGGGTCCTGTTGGTCCAGTGGGGGACGCTGGCGTTCCAGGTGCTCAGGGGCCTCCCGGTCCTCCGGGGCCCAGCGGACGCTCTATCAGAGGCCCTCCGGTAACTAACAGCACCTTGACACTGATTCCACATTCACACTGGGGCTGTCAAAGTAAAATTCGAATTTCATATATTTGTTGAGTTTTTAAACGACATGCACATTCAAACACAAAACACTTACATCTGTATTTTAAGTGTGTCAGGAGGCGCGAGACATGATGACGCAGCTGACGCAGTTTGTTTTTATTAGCCTGTCTAGTTCAGTCCGTTAGATGCGGCACTGCTGCGCTGTTAATTAGATGAATGGCTGAAAAAGAGAGTGGAGAATGAATGGACTTGAATGGAATAATTCAGTGTTTTCTGTCACTATTTGACATTTTTCCCTTCAAACACTGAAACTACGTGAAACTAAGCGTTTATCCGTAACATGCTAACACCACGTCGCTTCACACATTTGACACCGCAATGTTTGCTATTTTATGTTAATATAATAAAGTATGCCGTCTGATTTGTTTTCCCATATTACTGATGCACTTCCCCTTATCTACATGCACCTTTTTTATCTCCGTTTTGTTGTGTGCAGATCTAGGAAATTATATTTGATTTATGTACATTTAAATGTTATGCAACAAAGTCATGTCAATTATATTGCTGTCAATAAAGTTCGGTTCTTTTTTTTTTTTTTTTCTTTTCCTTATTGTGCTCATTTTCCCTCTGACACAGGAGTTCTCAGCTCTGGCCCTCGAGGTCCACTTTCTTGTAAAGTTTAACTCCAACCCTAATTAAACTCACTTAAACAAGCTCATCAAGGTCTTCAGGATCAGTATAACGTTACAGGCAGGTGAGTTTGATCAAGGTTGGAGCTGAACTTTGCAGGAAAGTGGACCTCAAGGGCCAGAACTGAGAAGCCCTCAAACATAAAGTATGTCGTTAGAATTCAAACATAATTCAATTATTATTATTTAAGTAATTTGAATGTAGTTCTCCAGCCCTAGTTTACACTGCTTTAGTCACTCACTCTCACTGATCACACAGATTCACAACTACTGAATCTGAGACATTCATTCAGAAATGAAGTGACCCTGTTAATCTCACACAGATCTCAGTTATTTCTCAGAGACATCCACTAGACTGGCTAGAAGATGATCTTCCATATAAACTCAACACATTTATTCAGTTAATACTAAATGAGTGCACTAAAGGATTGGAGAAGTCCTGTATACGTCACCAGAAAGAAGACTGTCATTTCAGCGGAAGATCATTAACATGCATTTGTAAAATAGATAAGGAATTAACATTTCATGTCGACTTTAAATATTAAAGAAAAAGATTGTATCGGGTTGCATTTGATTCATTAATCTGCTCATTTTGAATTTCTTTTCAATCTTCTCAGCTAGTTTTTTCACTGGATGTGAGTAAAACAGCATCTTTGGGGGCTTATTGAAGTGTTTTGTTCAAAGTATACTTCACTTCTTTCCCGTACGTTAGAATATGCGTAAAGTGTGGGTGATGCAAATTTTGTCATCAGATCGGTAGACGCGCACCGCCAGATTTTTGTAACCGTGCATACAATGTGTGTGCAGCTCGCACATGCGCTTTTAATTGTTTTTGCAGTACTGAGTTTGTCCACAAGGTGTCAACACTGAACCGGGCAATGAAAAAAAAAACAGAGGAGACGGAACAAGAACAACAACAAACTTTAAACAAGTATAAAGACATTTTTATCGCTCATAACTTTGGAAAAAAAAATACTCTGGAAGAGAAAATGCGCAGACAGTGGATGGGGTCGAATCTTTATAGTCAAACACACCTGTGTCCATGCAATTTGTGAAAACTGACATCCTGCGTATGACGTGTTCAGTCTGTAGGAATGCACATGTGTTTCTTTACAGCCACCTACTGGCCTGGCATGAATAATACAGCATTTGGAGTTGTTTTTGCAGATCTGTGTGAACGGGGATTATTTTGACAATGCTGTTGTAACGATGGGAAGGCTTGACAACGCAGTAGTGGAACCAAATGCAGGCTTTATTAAGCGAAATGTAGTCAGACAAGCAGGGTCGAGACAATGGAAAACAACAATAATCCAAGGCAGAGGCAAGAGAGTAATCCACAAGTCAGGCAAGGGTCAAGGCAGGCAGCAAATGATCACAAAACAGAATAACAGTCCCAAGATCAAAACACACAAAAGGCAAGGCAAGGCAAGGCAGAAGACAAGAAACGTTACAGGCAAAACAATACTGAGCAATGTGAGTGAGTGTGTGTGCATCTTTTATAGTCCTCCTGATGTGAAACAGCTGTAAACGGGTGATTGGTTCATAGGCAGAAGGAACCTGGGAAATGGAGTCCGGGGTGAGTAGTGACAAGGGCATGGGATAGAGTGTCCTCTAGTGGAGCTCATGGGCGGCTTCCAGATGCTCCTTAACAGGCCAGAGTCGGAGCGGGGGCGGAACAGGGGGAGGGATGGAGGGTCAGGTCCATGAGGAAGGGGAGGGACAAGGGACTGAGGCAGAGCCAGCAGAGCAGGGAGCCAAGGCGGAGCAAAGAGCCAAGGCGGAGCAGAGAGCCAGAGCAGAACAGGGAGCCAAGGCGGAGCAGAGAGCCAGGGTGGAGAAGAGAGCCAAGGCGGAGCAGAGAGCCAGGGCGGAACAGGGAGCCAAGGCGGAGCAGGGAGCCAAGGCGGAGCAGAGAGCCTAGGCGGAGCAGAGAGCCAGGGTGGAACAGGGAGCCAATGTGGAGCCGGTGGAGCTGAAGAGCACCAGGGGAGAGTGGGCTGAGCCGAAGACCACCAGGACAGAGCAGAAGAGCACCACGGCAGAGCAGAATATCGCCACGGCAGGGAAGATGGAGCTGAGAACCACCAGAGCGAAGCAGATGGAGCTGAAGACTACCACGACTTGGAGATTGGAGCTGGCACGTGAGCGGACTCTGGGACTGGAGCGGGCTCGTGAGCGGACTCGGGGACTGGAGCGGGCTCTGGGACTGAAGCAAGCTCGGGAGTGGATTCGGGGACTGGAGTGGGCTCGTGAGCGGACTCGGGGACTGGAGCAAGCTCGGG